ATGCAGGCAATACACACATACACATAAAATAAAAATAATAAAATATTTAAATATAAAAAATTAAAATGTGGAGATTTTAGGGCTGAGAGTATAGCTCAGCAGCAAAATGCTTGTCTAACATACATTCTGATTTCAGTCACCAGCACTGGAAAAAAAAAAAAATGTTGAGATTTTAAAGACCATATTGTTTTGATTTATTCCCAGAAACATTATCAATAAACTAAAATATGAAGCATACTTAGAGGAAATGGCTGGTGTAGCACACTGGTGAGCCGCTCATTAAAAAGAAAGCTTACCATGCTCATTTGGCAGCACATATAATAAAATTGGAACAATACAGAGAAGATTAGCATGGCCCCTGAGCAAGGACGGCATGCACATTCCTGAAGTGTTCTATATTTTAAAAAATAAAATAATAATAAAAAGTAGAAAAAAGGATTCCATCATTGGGCTACAGTGTAGCTCAGAGGAAAGAATCTTTCCTCTACAGATCTAGAATCTTTCTCACTATAGAAATCAACGTCTATGTGAATACTCTTCATGTTTGAAGAAAGAGCTTGTGTGACTTACTTGCCACCCAGGTTCAGATTACCAGCTTGTTATACAACTATCCAGATGCTTATCCAGATGCTAAAATCCCAGTGTGACACCTACCTATAAACCCAGCACTGGGGAAGTGAAGACAGGATCAGAAATTCAGGGTGACTGTCAGCTACGGAGTGAGTTTGAGGCCAGCCTGAGCCTGAGATATATGAGACACCTGATGCTGTGCAAAAGGGCGCCTTGCCAGTCTTAAAATGAAGCTGACGATGCCATGTGGACCAGTCCCATGTCTTCCCATTTGTCATTCCTTCACATGCTATTTATTCTGAGTTGTAATATTCAAGATAATCTAACAACTTCTCTAAAAGTGAAACATGGAGCCAGTGAGATGGCTGGGAGTAGTGGGGGAGTTGAGGGCAAAAGTCACTTGCTGCCAAGCCTGGTGACAAGTTTGATCCCCAGGATCTACATGGTGGAAAGAGAAAGCCAACTCCCACAAGCTCAGTAGTTGTCCTTTGACCTCCACACACGTGCACGACAAGTGTATACGCACATACAGACACACAAATAAATAAATGTAAGAAAAATAAAATTAAAACCTGTAACTAAGCACATATTTACAGAATACAGATGCTTAAGTGGTTTTATATTCAGATTTCTAAGGGATTTCTTTCAAACATGAATTCCATTCCTAAGAAGTCGGCTTCCAGTGAAATAGTCTATTTCTTCACAAAGAAGTATGATTTTAGATGTGCAGTGTGGTGGTATGATTCCTCAGCATATTAAACAAATGCATCTTTATTTTTGTATTTTCAGATAGTGGCCAGAACAATAGTGCCAGTAGTAAAAGTGAACGACTGAGTGCCAAGCTCAGAGCTTTACCTGGGACAGATGAACCTTATGAAAGTAGCAGTAACAAAGAAATAGGCAAGTGCTGGTCCCCTCCCCAGCTCCCCCAGAACAGCTGCTCTGAAGAAGATGGCAAGTGTAACCTGGAAACCACCGAGAATTTGACATGTGCAGACAAAACGTAGTAACTTGGGAGAGATTTCTGTTCACTCTGAGTTGTTTGGTTTGGACTTTGAGTCTAGATTGTTTTCATGTTTCTTTTCTTTTTCTCTGATGCTCTAATGATGTGATCTGTTTTGAACCCTAGATGCCTCCTATGTGGATCCGCTGGGCCCTCAACTAGAAAGACCAAAAACTGCAGCCAAAAAAAGACTCGACGAGGATGATTTTGCTGATGAAGAGTTAGGAGATGACTTGCTTCCCGAATAATACAAACTTTAATGTATCATTTGTATGTGTGTGTTCGAATATTTGTGTGTACACATATGTATGTGTGCATGCACATGTGTGTTCATGCATGTGGGGGCCAGAAGACAACTTCAGATGTTTTTCCTCAGGCACCATCCACCTTTGTTCATTTGAGATAGGGTCTCTCACTGGCCTGGAATTTGCCAAATAGGCAAGGTTGGATGCCAGCAAGTCCCAGGGATCTGCCTGTCTCCACTTCCCCAGTGTTGAGATGATAGGCACGGGCCACCACACTGGCTCTACTTTATATGGGTTTTGGGGATTGAACTCAGGTCCTCATGCTTGCCCTGCAAGCACATTCCCAACTGAGCTATCTCTCCCAGCCCAATATGCCATTTATTAAAGGAAAGAAACTGCCTTACAAGATAATACTCTTGATAAACCAGATCAAATGTTTAAACTCTGATTTTGTACATTGTTAAAATTTGAAATAAGTGTATTCTGTTATATGAATATGGATTTATGTTGTAATTTTTATGGAATAGAACCATAAAACTAATACTTTCAGCCAGTGACTGCTGTACCTTTCTAGTAACAATGACCCACAGTAAGAAATAAAGTCTATAGCCCAACATAGCATCTACACACCCACATCAAGTATGTACATAGTCCCCAAATTTACTTTTATTACTGCAGTAAACAGAAATATTTTCTATAACTTCATTAAAACAGTGTGCTAGTAGAGATCACTGTATCTCGTGGCTTTAAAATATATTAAGATATATGCATGACCTTTATTCAAGTTAAATTGCTTGGAGTTTGGAAAGTTTTGTTTGGAGTCTTTGGAAGTTTTTTCTCATTACTAAGACAGTCCTATTTTACAGGCATCATACAATGTAATTAGAGAAAACACCAAAGTATAATCTTGCTCTTTTCAGTAGTTCCCATCTTTCAGCCACCCGGTGGTGTATGAGTTGTGCAGAGCGATGACTCTCAAGATGGCTTTACCCATTCGTTACTTAGGGGATGAGGTGGGGGCAGGATGGTTTGCAGTTTCCTTTAGACATGTTTTTGTTGTTCCAGACTGCCTAGAGGAATTTTAGTGATGGGTACGCCAAAGAACTGGCCCCTCCCTCTTTTTGTCTTGAGACAGTCTTGTCACGTGGTCCAGGCTGGTTGGTCTTGAATTTGTGGGCTCAAGTGATCCTCCTGCCTCAGTCTCGAGTAGCTGAGAAAGCCAGTGCTACCACACCCAGTGTTACCTTAATGTAACACTGCCTCTGCAGAATACACATCGCTCTTTGGTACAGCAGGAGGCAAGCCAACATCAGACCTCGTTCCTGCTCCTGAGGCAGGCTCTGCTCTCACACAGGAGTCCTCTAGCTAGGTACTAAACATGTTGAAGGTTCAAAGAGATGTTCAAGACCCTGTAGCTAGGCATGATAGATAGACATGCCTGTAATCTCAGCAACTCAAGAGGCAGAGCAGGGGGATTACAAGTTTTAAGCCAGTCTGTACATGGGCCACACAGCAAGTTAGAAGTCAACATGGAAACATGAGTCCCTTTCTTAGGAAAAAAAACAAAAACAGATTTTGAAGCTATAGAGTGGACAAGACAGAACAAGATCTTTCCTTCAAGGAGCTTAAATTCTGGCAGGAGAGAATATAATTGTATTTTCAAAAGACTTTTTATATTAAGTATGGTTAAAATGCAGCAATGCAGTAGGAGGCGGACAAGGAGCTTCAAGAGCTAGAATTTCTATCTACACTAGAATGTTGAGAAGAAAACATGTTCTTGGGCTGGCAAGATAGCTCAGTACATAAAGGCACTTGCCACCAAGTTTGACAACCTGAGCTCAGTCCCTGAAACCCTCATTGTAGAATAAAGAACCCACCTCTGCAAGTTGTCCTCTGACCTCTACACATGCATTATTGGGTACCAGTGCAAACTCATAAATACGCACACAAAAAATTAAATAAATGTAAAGATAATTTTTAAAAATCACGTTCTAGGAGGCAGGAACAGAGCAAGTGCCAACGTAGCAGGATCTAGATGTAAGCTGCTGGTGTCATGGTTTAAAGATGACGCCCCCCCGCCCCCCCCACAGGTACATGTGTTGAGGGCTTGGTCCCTAGCTGATGGTAATACTTTGAGGGGAGGGGAAACTAGCTGGAGGAAGCAGGTCACCAAGGGCATGCCTATGCAGGGTTTATCTTGTCCCTTTCTGCTGCTTGGCCACCATGTGGTGAACAGCGTGCTCCATTATGCCCTCTCCACCCCAATGTTCTCTCTCGTATCACAGCCCACAGGGATGGGGCCAAGCAACCATGGAAGACTGAAACCAGGAACCAAAAGAAGTCTTCCCCCTTTTTGTTTGACTCCAGTATCTGATCATAGAGATGTAAAACTGACCAATGAGTTGGAGTGACTGTTAAACTACAGGGATTGGGGGCCCATCGGCATGGGTGGTGGCTAACATAGGAGTCACAGGAGATAAGAGCCAAAAGTTGAGCTGATCACTGAGAACCATTTAAAGAGCTTGGATCTTGGCTAGAGAGATGGCTCAGTGGTGGTTAAAAGTACTGGCTGCTCTTCCAGAGGACCCGGGTTTGAAACCCACATGATGGCTAACAACCATCCATAACTACAGTTCCATGAGTTCCGACACCCTTTTCTGACCTCTGCAGGCATTGCACACATGGGTGCGCTTACATGCAGGCAAAACACTCATACACATACAAATACATTTAAAAAAAAAAAAGAGCTTGGACCTTTATCTGGTTTATAATAAAGAAACCTTTTAAGATTTTTGCAAAGGAAAAGGTTAAAATAAAAAGCAAATGTAAATACAATAATTCCAGTTAAATGGTAGATTATTATATTACTAAATAAGATTCAAGGAGTCAAAGAGATGCCTTATTGCTTAAAACTGCTTACTGCTCTTACAGAGGACTATATGCTCAGCCTCCTGAGTGCTGGGATTAAAGGTGTGCACCACCACGCCCAGCTTTCATATTTTCTTTTTTAATCTTTAAAATAAGACTCTGGAGCTGGAGAGATGGCTCAGTGGTTAAGAGCCCTGACTGCTCTTACAGAGGACTTGATTTCAATTCCCAGCACCCACATGGCAGCTAATAAATGTAACTCCAGTTCCACGGGATCTGACACCCTCTTCTAACCTCTGTGGGCACTGCACAACACAGGTACACTTACATGCAGACAATACACTTATATAGATAAAATAAAAACAATAAAATACTTTAAAAAGTAAGACAACATTATAAGAAACCTGAGCCAATGAGATGGCTCAGTGTGTAAAAGCACTTACTCCAAAGCCTGACAACCTGATTCCTGGGACCCACATGATGAGAGAACCAATCCTGCAATTTGTCCTCTGACCTCCACACATGTGCTGTGGAAAGTACATGCCCACACACCTATAGATTCCTGTGTGCGCATGTACACACACACACACACACACACACACTAAACAGACATGAAACATTTTAATATTTTTATGTGTCTGAGTGTATTGCCTGCATGTAAGTGAGTGCACCCATGTCGTGCAATGCCTCGGAGGTCAGAAGAGGGCTTCGGATTCCCCTGAAACTGGAGTTAAGGATGGTTCGCAGCCGCCATGTGGGTGCTGGAAATCGAACCCGGGTCCTCTGTAACAGCAGTCAGTGCTCTTAACCACTGAGCCATCTCTCCAACCTCAGACATGAAACATTTTTTAAACTTAAAAATATTAGGTTATAGGTAGGTAGTTTGGAAAGAATGGGGAAAAAATCAATCCAACAAAAGGGAAAAGTGATCAACTGTCAAAAGGTGCCAAAAATCTCAATATTTGACTTTGACATAATTATGTGTTATTATTGTGATACTGTTAAAGTCATTACAATGAACTATTGTGGAAAGGTTCCCAACTGGAACACACAGAACAAATAAGAAATGAAGGTTTTGGAACCAGAGCATAAAAACAATTCAGAGCACTTTGCTGTAAAGGGGAGCAGAGAAATCAGACAGTAGCTGGAGTTACCACTTGGGTGTCAACAAAGTCTTGGTTAGTGTTGACTTGGTAACGATGACAGTTCCCATCTGTATCTATGGAGGAGAATGGGAGATGTGATGAGAAGAGATGTAAATTAGTGACCATGTAAAGGGGGAATATGGATTGGAAATTCAATAGGATACTTGTGTGGAATGCATGTTAGGGTTATTGTTTGACTATGAAGTGCTCCCCATAGGCTCATGTTGGAATATTCTGTCCTCAGCTGGTGGTGGTGGTTTTTGGAGGCTGTGGAACCTTTAGGAGATGGCACCTCATTGGAAGAAGTGAGTTACTGTGGACAGGACTGTAGGTTCATAGGCTGGACCTGCTTCCTATCAGTCTCTGCTTCCTGGCCCACTGAAAAGTGAACAAGCAGCTCTCTGCTGCATTCTCCTGCCATCACTGAGCCTCCCACAACCATACCATTATGCCTTCCCAGCCCTGATGGACTGTACCTCCTCACACTATGAGCCAAAAGACACTTCTCATTGGTCAGTGATGAGAAAAATAACTCACATGGCTTTTTGCTACTGTGACAAAAATACCTGAGATAATCAACTTATAGGAGAAAAGTTTTCTCTTAGCTCATAGCTTCAGTGGTTAGTCCATGGTAACTTGGTCCTATTGCTTTGAGCCTATAGTACACCATGGCAAGAGCCTGTGACAGAGCAGCCCTGTTCATCTCATGGGTAGCCTAGAACCAGAGGAAAAGCCTGGCCTCCCACCATCCCCTTCAATAACAGCCCCAGTGACCTAATTGTCTCTCACTAGGCCCCACCTCCCCCTAGTGCTACTGGCAGGGAACAAAACCATGATGCATGGGCCATGGGGGACTTATCCAAACCAGAACAAATGCTAATCTGAGACTTATGGTCATAAATTGAAATTGAGTTTAGTCAACTCAATATGATTTTGTATGTGTGTAATATGTGTGGTTGTTCACGTGTGTGCATGTATGTATGTGGAAACCAGAGGTCAGCCTTGTGTTACTCCTCGGGTGCTGTTCACCTTATTTTTTAAGATAGAGACTCACTGGCCTGGAGTAGGCTAGGCTGACCGTAGAGCAGGCCCCAGAGATCCTCCTGTCTCCACCTCCCCAGTTAAGGGATTACAAGTGCACACTTCTGCACCCAGCTTTTTTACATGGATTTTGGGGATCATGTTCAAGTCCTCATGCTTTAACAGCAAGCACTTTACTGACAGGTATCTCCCTGTCCAAGCATGTTTGTTTTCAGGAGGTGGATCATTCCAGAGGACCAGGGGATTTTAAGAATGTGGTAATAAAGTTGATCCATGAAATTGGAACTAGACAAAGGAAATAAGGACTGAAGTATGGAATGTTAATTTTAAAAATGGCAGTATTTGAGGACAAGATGAAGTCTGAGGTAGTGCTGGGGGGGAGGCATAGGATATTGGAATCAGATGTTGGGATTCATTTCAACTATTCCAGATAATACTTGGACAGGACCACATGATTTGATAGCTGAGATGAGATGGGGGAAAGTGACAACTAGAGCTAAAGCAGTCACTTAGAACCAGGATGTTGTCTGTGTGCACTTTAGAGGTTTGAGGATTGAGCAGCAGAAACACTGGAAGATGAAGGTGCTAGAATCACCAATGAATAAAAGGGGTTAGTGGGAAGATAGCAGCCATGAGGAGAGCTAGAGGACAAAGCTTGTGAGGGCAATTCTTTAACAGGGAGAAAATGGCTTGGATATGTGCCTTGCTTAGTAACCCAATTATGGAAATAGCCAACCACACATTGACTTTGGAAGTTATGGTACCTAAGAATGACTTAAAAGACTCTTCCCCCAGAGGTTGGAGAGATGGTTTGTTCTATGGTTAAGAGCACTTCTGCTCCTGCAGAGGCCCAGGGTTGGATTCTCAGCACTCACATCAGGATTCAAGAATCCTCACAGCATTTAAGAATGACTTAAAAGACTCTACCCCCAGGGGCTGGAGAGATGATTTGCTCTGTGGTCAAGAGCACTTCTGCTCCTGATGAGGACCAGATTTAGATTGCCAGTACTCACATTAGGTGGCTCACAACTGTCTGCAACTCCAGTTTCAGGGCATCTGATGCCCCCTTCTGGCCTCCGTGGATACCTGCATGCATGCGGTACACATAAAAATAAAGCTTTAGGCCAGGCGTGGTGGTACACACCTTTAATTCCAGCACTCTGGAGGCAGAGGCAGGTGGACCTTTGTGAGATGGAGGCCAGTCTGGTCTACATGAGTTCTAGGCCAGCTGGAAGACCCTGTCTCAAAAAGAAAACTACTACTACGAATAATAAAACATTTTAAAGACTCTTCCCCAAAACCTTGGTCCATGCTGAACCTTGCAGCTTTGCTGGCCTTGCTGAATGAACCAAGGGATGAGTGTGAGTTTGTCAAGCCCACATGACCACACTAAGTGAAGTCAATATGGAATATTTGAGACACATCAGTTACTAAGCAACACAATGAGCTTAAGTTTGAGTATTTTGCACCCCCCCTTTTTTTACGTCTGTATAATTTAGACTGATTTTTAAAAGTTTTACTATTATTGTGTGTATGTGCATGATATGTGTGGTGGCACAACAGAGGTCAGAGGACAACTTTGTGGAATGTGTTCCAGGGATCAAACTCATCACCAGACATGCATAGTGGTACCTTTACCCACCGAACCATCTTGCTGGTCCCAAGTTTGTACTACTTATTAACATGCCTTGCATTCTCATAAAGATGTTGAGATCTGTGAGGAATTCATTTGCCCTATTTATAAGCTTGGTTCCACTGTTTCATCTCACAAACGAACATTTTCAGTAATTGTGATTTTTCTTAAACTGAAAACTGTTAGCAAATATTTCTTCCCCATCTCCATGGTAATCTGGGAGCAGTCAGGAGTTGCCCTGTGATCAGACATCAGAAGGTACTTTACTAATACACAGAGCTAACAAACTGGCACTGTGCCACCACAGGTATGAAAGGGTGCTGAGAGGACATGGTGAGTATTCCCATGAAACTCTTGTCATGACAGTCTCTCCTAAAAGGCTCCTCCACTGTTTTTTGAATAGAAAATAAGCAGTATTTGAGCACTTGAAGTCTTTATCCCTATTTCACTAGAAAGGAAAGAACATCAACAATTTACCTGCTAGTCAGAAAGCATTTTATAATCCCAAACATTTACTAAAAGCTGTAAATGGCTGAAATTGTAGTGAGGATTTTTAGCAGGAAAGCCATTACTAAACTCGTTTTAAAACACTGAAGGCATGTAAGAGTTTTCCTGCAGTGTAACTGGTGTAAACAATGGTTTACAATTTAGTCAACTCCCACTGCTGCAAACCACTTAGTCAAAAATTACTATTTTGCACAAGTTCACAAAGCTTTCGGCTGGTATCAACCATTTGTTTTTATTTTCAAAGCATAACTGCTTCGAAAGTAAGCATTATCTGGCTACCTAGCAAGCAAGGCATATTTATTTTAGAATGAACAAGTGAGCAAGTTTCCTTGTGGTCTTGAGATATAATGTAGTCCTTCATTTGACCATATTTCTCTTCATTTATTCACAGATTTGTAGGTTTATTTTACATGCCTGCTCACACAAATTAAATTAGTCTAGAGCTCCCCCAGTACGCTAAATCTAGCCCAAGTGATGCCCACTTACAGCCACAAGTGTCAGATGGGGAAGGATATTCATTACTTTGCATCTAGCTGCATAAGAGGCACGGGTCATGTTTATGGGTATTTAGGGAAAACAGCCTCCTCGACTCACTGAAGAGATTTTAAACATTTCTTCGAACCATGGAATCACAGACGAGGAAGCACGAGTCCTTCTAGGTTATGAGTTCGTTCATTTTCCAAGTGGCCTATTCAACTCGTGGACTGCTTTAATTCCTAGAGAAATCCTTTCCTCCGAGCCAAAGTCGGCCCCACTTGTCTGCCGTGGAGACGTCGAGGCCAGTTCCCACCTCCTCCTTCAGGCAGGCGGGACCGCATCCGTCCAGGGCAGGGCCAGCGCCCACATCACTTCTGCAGGCTCGGGACACCCAGACCCTCCAGCCGCACAGCCGCTAGTCCGGACCCACGGGCAGAGGGCCCTCGGCGTGTGGCGCTTTTATTTGTACGGCTACAGAGCCGCTTACAGCGCGTCCTAACAGACCTGACAAGACCTGGGGCGCCGCGATGCTGGGAACACTGGTGAGCACACTGGGGGATCGCACTGTGGCCATTCCCGGGGCCCTCGGCGCAGGTCGGCGGGCGGGCAGGGGGACGGCCGGGAGGGGGCCCGGGGTGAGGTGGCGTCACAGGCACTCGCTATTTGTACGGCTACAGAGCCGCTTACAGCGCGTCCTAACAGACCTGACAAGACCTGGGGCGCCGCGATGCTGGGAACACTGGTGAGCACACTGGGGGATCGCACTGTGGCCATTCCCGGGGCCCTCGGCGCAGGTCGGCGGGCGGGCAGGGGGACGGCCGGGAGGGGGCCCGGGGTGAGGTGGCGTCACAGGCACTCGCAGCCCGCAGCGCAGCAGCCCGGCAGGCACACGCACACGTGCACGCGAG